CAACCTGGCCGCCACTGCATGACCTTGGGCACCGTGTCCGTTTCAAAACACGCATCGCACGACAGCCGGAACAAAGGCGCGTTGTGCCATACCCACATGACAAAGAGTCTGGGAAAGGTATGCTGTCGTGCGAGATGCAGGCCGTGTCACAGAGTCTGTGTCACTGGTTGCTGCCGTCACCCAGGCTAATTGGGCACGGCTGTAACACCCCGCCCCCCCATGTGGGAACAAAGGGGAAAAGTCAGCATTTCCAGCATGACTAACCGAGCGAGTGAGTCAGCTTAGCTCTGCTCAGGACGTCAGCTGAATGTCCGCCGGTCCTCTCGGCGAGACGAGACTGCAATGAGACGTTCGCGTGACCCACAATTCCCTGGGCTTTGGTGAGGGGGGTGTCTGCCGGGCCTCTCCACTCATCTCTCTCCCGCACGACTCTCAGGATGCGTTTGCCAAGGGCGAGGTGTACCTGGCCCACCGCGACCTGGGCTACAGTGTCTGCGCCGGCCTCCCCGTCGGCACCCACTGCAACGGCGCCTGGCAGCACGGCATCACCATCGTGACGCCGGACCGCAGCTTCCTCTTCACCTGCGAGTCCGAGTCGGAGCAGCAGGACTGGATCTCCCACTTCAGCAGCGCCATCGGCACCTCCATGTCTCCCCAGGAGTATTCCAGTGAGTGTCCCGTCTGCGCACATCCCAGGGGGGTAGTTCAGGTCTGGAGGGTAAAAGTCCACACCAGGTTATTTTAACCAACTGGTTGGGTGGATCAAAATCTTGGTCTGGACTTCTAGTTGCTGGACTTGAATTACCCACCTCTGGGCAGTTGGTGCAAAGCAGTGCAGTCAAGACTGCCTCCATGCCGGTGTCCTCAGGGCGCCACATTTGGTCTTTTTCATGTCCTCTCTAATGATTCTACTATGCTTGCCATTACAGTGGAGGCCCTCTTCAAGCACAAATACTGACAGGCCAACGCCACCGCCAATCAAACAGTACAGCCAATCGGCACGCCGCAGTGGGTTTCTCTGTTCTTCTTGGCACCACCCTCTCAGAAGCTGTACCCTAACAGCAACCATCTTGCACCAGAGAGCTTCTGGGTAGCTGTGTCAACATGCCCTTGTTAACACCCCGACAAGCAGAAATCCTGAAAGACACTAGAGTTGCATTCAACTACGGCAATTATTCACAGAAGTTTATATGCAAGTTATGTTCTGGTTTGATTGCATGCAGTTGATTGAAAAACACAATGTTGCAATATTACATGGAATTATATATATTTTTCTGTAACCACCATTGAAGCTGGTAGCTCTAAATGATCTGTGACGATGTTTAAATTCTCTTGCTTTGTGGTGATCAAGCTCAATGGGCCTCTTTATCTAGCTCTGGCTCCAGACCTTCATGGCATAAGTGACAGTCTGCCTCAGATAAAGGTGGCTGAAAACTCACTCATGCCCCTGAGAAGCCAGATCAGGTCAATTCCTGTGTCATAAGGACTCATCATGACGAATGATGCACCAACGGTGGTTACCCACAGGCCAAGCTGGAGCTCCTGCCCCATTTTGAAAGTTGCATCAGTAAGATTTGTGCCTTCATCACCTAAGTAGAACGCTGTACAGCAGTCTGGTCCTTGGGGACTCGCAGACGGTCCGTGTTTTTGCCCCCTCCCAGCTCCTGCTAGGACTGTCTGGCTGGCAGCTGGGAGGAAGCAAAAACGTGGACTGTCTGGCTGGCAGCTGGGAGGAAGCAAAAACATGGACTGTCTGAGGGTCACCGAGGACCGGACTGGGAAACACTGCTCTAGAGACCCAGACTGAATAGTGTTTCCACAATATTTTTGTCCCCATGTTTAATACTGTAGATTTGTCACACCTTATTATTATTGCCCAAAACCATTTGTTCTTTTGAGTGACAGCCCAATTGGCCAATGGCACGATTGATCTCACTAACCAATATAGACACTACTGTACCTGTACATCATTTAAGGGGTTGGACAAGATGGACATGCCAATATAGAGTATGGTCTTCTGTAAATGAATAAATTTGTGTTGTGTTATGATTGTGAACCACAACTGTTGTGTCTTACGTGTTACAATAATTGCTTTTAATCCTCCCTGTTTTATTGCAAGATTTTTGAAAATATATTTGAAAATTAAAACTTTTTTGTAGGGGAAATATTTGCAATGTTTGGTTTTTCAATGAGGTTTTATTTTATCAGTACAATCTGGCAAAAGAATGTCACCTATTAAGACCTCACTGACACCTACTGGCAGAATAGTAGTATTACAGACTTTTGATGTTGCACATATACCGTTGGTTCCTTCAAATCCCAGGCCAGGTTCTAACCTGTTCCTTTACAGTTCTGAGGGAACAACGCTACTATCACTTGTCTGATGCTGTACCTTTTAAATGCATGACACCATGTAATCTTAGGTTTCTTAAAAAAGTACAGTACACATGACTTTATATTTTAAAATTATACGATTTAAATGGCTTACAGGGCATTACAAGGCTGAAACCAAAAGCCAATAATAAATGACCATGTAAAAAGTCATTTTGGTTTCAGCCTTGTAATGCCCTTGTAATGTAATATAGACACTACTGTACCTGTACATCATTTAAGGGGTTGGACAAGATGGACATGCCAATATAGAGTATGGTCTTCTGTAAATGAATAAATTTG